AAAAAAAAAAAAAAAAAAAGAAACACCCTCATTGTCGCCCCGGCCAGTTAATGGCCGGGCATGGGGTGGGGCTGGCGCTGGACCGAAGGTTCACTGGTAGTATTAATTGAAGACGAACCATCCTCGAGTCAGGCGTTCTCTATCTCGGTCACTTCCCGTCATCGCGTGATATTTAAACTGCTACTACTAGTACTACTAGTAGTAGTAGTGGTAGCTTCCCTCTCTGCGAAGAGAAGTAGGGGGAAGAGGCGTGACTTCGCTTTCGGCGGCATTTCGTTTATATGAGTGCATTGGCGGGCATTCATACCCGCACGCTCTCTGCGTGTAACGAGCACGCCGTTGTGCGCCTGTCGGCGCGTTTCTGAAGACTCCCTGTGGGGATCGACAGCTTGAGGCAGCACGAGGAGTGGGTGCAGCTGCCTCTCGATTCCGTTCCTCTTTCTCGCTCCTTCAGAGACTCCCTCCCTTTCTCCCTCCCTCCCTCCCTCCCTCGATTGCTGGCTCTTGCTCGGTAGTGATGGCCAGACGAAGGCTAGCGGCTCCAGCACAGCGATTCGCGCTGTTTGCCGCAGTCCAAGTGGCGCTCGTTGTTCTAGCTCTCGGCTATGGCTGCCAGATGGTGTCTGCTGGCCACGCCACGGCTGAACAGCGGCTGGCGTCCGCCTTGAGCTCGACCCTCACGGCGAAGGCTCCCGTCGTGGTGACCATCACTGAGGACATCGTACTCACAAAGGCACTGCCGGGGATGGAAGGTACCCATTCTATCCATATCAAGGGAGAGTGCGGTAGTCGCAAATGCGTCGTTGACGGTGGGGGCAAGTACCCCATTTTCTCGTCGGTGGGACCGAGACTGACGATCGAGAACTTGATCTTGCGTCATTCTGGCGAACGGGCTATCTACGCCAAGACCGAGCTCAAGCTGACACGTGTCGTCCTCAAGAAAAACAAAGGTGGCGCGGTCGCGGTCGGCATTGGAGGGAACCCCTGGCACATCGAAGATTGCCATTTCGAGAACAACGACGGCCCCGCCCTCCTCCTCTCCACTTCCAGCAGCGGCAAAGTCGTCCGTACCACGTTCAGGTCCAACAGGGCGGGAGGTGATGGTGGAGCCGTGTGGATTGACGCACGGGCGCCGAGTTACGTCTTCGATCAGGTGACCCTGGAGGGGAACACGGCCGGAAAGAGTGGCGGCGGCATGTACATAAATGGGGTATTCGCGCCGCACGATAAGCACATGAAGGTGCTCATCTCGGGATGCAAGTTCACGAAGAACGTGGCGAGCGGCGGGCCCGGCGGCGGGCTGGCACTGGGCTCGTATGTGGAAGCGCGCATCTGTGACACCTCCATCGCCGGGGGTGAAAACACAGCGAAGGGCGGGCAAGGCAACGACGTCGCTGTGGTGTCCAGCGATTATCACAAGCTTCCAACGACCGTGTCGTTCTGTCCTAAAAAGCCTTCGGGTTTCTCCCTCTTCGTCGTTCCGGTTCCGAAGTATCCGAATTTTCAGCATCCGATCGTTCGGCACGACTGCGCGGTCTGCTCAGTGCGGCGCTAATTAGTGCATGTCCGCAAGCTGTGTATGTATCACAGTAGAGTAGGTTTGAATTCCTGTATGTTCTCGATTCTTTCTTGAGGACTTGTGTTGTGTTGTGTTGTTGCCCACCGCTGCCGCGTCCGACTGTCTCTCGGTGTGTCGGAGTCGTCGACGTCGTCTTTTTCTGTCTGTCGCTCTGTGTATCCAGCGGGCCGTTCCTTCTCAGTGTGTCTATCAGTTAGGATGGGCATCATGCTGATCGTTAGGCTTAAGTTTGCGGTTCTCACTCTGCCTGTCTCACGCAATCTGTCATCTGTCTTACCCCGATGCCTTCAAGGCTTGCGCGGGCAGATTACTTAGTATAGTGTCCGCATCTGCCCGTCTTCTTCGACGTTAGTGCATTGGGACTGTGGCTTAATGTCCGTTGTTTGTTTTCGAAAAATGTTTTTTTTTTTTTTTTTGGTTGGAGACGGACTGGAATTGCATTTTTCTCTATGTTATCAAGTGTTGTTGGGGTAGGGCCCACGCTCTGAAACTGGGTACAAGTCCCAGTACTGTGACATGAATTTTCCGGGTTGTTTGTGAGGAATTCCCGGGACCAAGTCCCACTTGCAGCGGTTTAGTCCTCAGTTCGGGACCCTGTGTTTTGTGCGACACGTTTCCTGACCGCTGATTGACATTGATCGTAGGGCGCATGGTCGGTTATGTTTTTCTTCGAACGGAATGGATTGAATGTTGCTATGTAGCGGTTTCCCATTGGCTGTTATAGTCGGAATGAGCTCTTTCACTCGCAGGGAACGGTCCTCGTCCGTAGCCTGACCCCAGTCGGGCTAGACGTGGGGACCGTCCATCGTCTTGTATTTCCACAGAAACTAAAAGTTTTTCCCGACAATGCCGGGTTGTTTGTGAGGAATTCCCGGCCTCATGTTCTTTCATGATAATGGACTTCCTTGCTTTTTCCCAAAA